ATTTAAATAGTTTGGGTAGAAGAGGGAAATCCTGCTAAAATCCTCTTTCCCTTTTTACACTTAGCCACCCAGTCAGGGAGCAGGAATAACCAGTAGTGCCAGACAGGGCTGACAAGCATCCCAGTACAGAGATTGATGCCAGGGGGGTGGGAGTGTGTGGATAGAGTGGTGCCGAGGTTTCAGGTTCAATCCCCATGATCTGCAGAATCCCTTTGAACTCTATGAAAATGGGCTTCTTCTTAGCTATGAATTGAAAGCCTGCCTGACGTTCATAATCTTTTAGGAACAACATGGCTATGATGGTTATTATTAATTATTTGGATCTTGAACTGAGTAAAATGCTGCTCAGAATGTTTATATTCGTATTCTAGTACTCTTGAAGAAAAATTCAACAAAACCAACCACCTCATCCAGAGTGTTATTCATCACTTCGCCGTGCCCAGCTTAAATGCTTTATTTAAAGTATGGAAACCTTCAAACATTCTGATGACTTTCAAAACAGCTTACTTAAAATATTTGTGTGACTGTGGAAAAGGAATGGAAGTAATCCCAGAATTCACTAAGCAGCCTTTCAGCCTTTCCATATCACAATATCGCTTATTATTATTAATAGTTTTCAGTGGAACGTTAACAGTATAAAATTCTTAACATGAATTACCATAAGCACTTTGTTACCCCACTAGCATTTCAATATAAATGCATCACATAACCAACAAACAACCCCTGAATCAAATAACCACAGATCTTGGTACATTTAGCAAAAAACATTATTGCAAACATCAGCAGACCTTCTGTTAAATAGAAAGGACAGAGGGAAGAAAAACAAGGACAGTTAAGTTATTAGGCAAGTAAGGCACAGTCTGATGGATAGGATATTCTAAAACTGGCAGCAATGTTGCCTTAAATGTTGTCGTTTTATCTCTCTCTCTATAACATTTTTTCCATTAGGGAAATAATCTTGTTAGCTACATTTCAGAGTCAAGTGAGAATATGGATTTATGAGCTTGTCATACAATACAATTGGCAACTTGGTTGCCTGTATAGGACTAGAAGCCATTTAGTCCTATACAGGCAACCAAGTTGCCAATGAGATTTTCACAAGGTTTTTTTTTAAACAAAATAGTCAAATAGTAGTGGGCAAAAATACATTTTAAAACAGGAAGAAATCCCATACGTGGGATGTTCTAACCAAGAAGGCCCTATCTCTGACTGCCACCCAGTTGTCACTTGGAAATGGACTGGTAGCCAGGTGAGTGAAATATGAGACAATATCAGGACATTAATTTAAGATTTTGCATGCATTTTTACATCATTGTGTTATCTTATCTCTTCATAGATATAATAATGTGCCTGGAATGGTTTCTTGCTGACACTGGTTTGGTGACTGTTTTCTTTTCTTTCTTTTTTTAAGGTCAAATCACCAAAAACTGAATTCCTGCTAGCCAACAGAATGGATATATAGATGAAGAAATGGTTTGAGATACCTTTGGGGTGCAAGCTTTTAGACATTCCCCCCTGTGCATGCTATGCGTTGTTGTTGTGATCAATCACTTAACAGATTATGACACTCTGAATTGTACATGAGATGATCAATTTTGTGGAATGAAGAAATAAATTGTTTTCCCATCTATCAGTTTCTTATGGCATGTAGATTCGCTCACTGTTAACATGCCTTTATTGCCTTGTGTCTTTAGCCACAGATGCCGTTGGACAGCACTAATTCAGGCAGCCATGTTGGGAACAAGGTGGCTGGAATGAAATGGTACAGATGGCAATGCTTTTACAAGTCTTTGATGCTCTTTGAGATACATGTGTTAATTTACAGTTGTTAAGCAGAAGGTGAAAAGCCGTCCCCATAGCAGTTAAAGCCATTCTTAACGCCAGTAGCAGCTGGCAGGGACTGTAAGGAAGGGACTGTGGAAAACATGACGTCAAACAAGTGAGGCTAATTAACACCAGTTTCCCAAATTAGAAAGTCTGCAATAGCTAGAATTTAAAAACAACACCTTAATGATTTCTAAAAATAGCAGCTGACTTGCCATTGAGTATCATGACCTCCATTAAACTTGGAGCCTGTTTCCTGTGACTAATGGCGTAAATCGCATTTACCTTTTATATTCTATTCTCTTTGGGATTAGCACTGAAGCTTAAGGCCTGACCTTGAAAGGCCTTCTCATAAAGACCTAAGATGAGCTCTCAAATTGTACACAACGCATGGTGCATACAGGTATGCATACAGGTATGACAGGATGTTTAATTAACTGAGAGAAATCAAAACCAGTATACCAAGGATGGGTCTCTGTACATGAATAAAAGGTCAAGGAAAGAAATTGGAGCATCAATGAACTGAAATTAAAAGGCAAAGAGGATGATTTGGCCGATAAGACTCTGGATTAGGACACAAAAAGAAAACCTCAAGTCTTCTTTAGGCTTCTTGCACAAATTCAGGTAAGGAGGCTAATTTCCCAAAGGTTACTTTCCCCATCGATTAAACGGAGTTAATAATACTGATCTTATAGGGAAGATTCTCCTATATAATTTATATTTCTATTTGTTCATTTGTTTTATATTTCTCTGAGTCCACCAAGGTTTTTTTAATGGATACCCTAGACAAAGAGCATATAGATGGAGCTGGCACAAAGAATGAGAACCAATGGTAGATATAATATAAAATATATAAAGGCAGTAAATGTAATGCCCATAAGCCTTAGGTGCAACATTAGGTGCAGCTAAACCCTATTGATTTCAAAAGGACTTAAAAGTGCCCAACTGTGCTCTTGAATGCCTTTGTTGTGTAGACAGAGATGTTTGCAAATATATCTATCATAGGACAGGGAAGCTCCTGAGCTGAATACAGTGGAACCAAAAGCAGAGTGCACCAAATTAGAATGATCTTCTGGCAATTCTAAACACACACACACACACACGTGCAAATATCAGTATAACATACATGCAGATGTTATTGTGCTGCAGTTAAAGAAAGTATGCTATACTGAAAGAAAAACCATCAACGAGCAATTTTTGTTCACATGTACAAGAGTCATCATATCTAGTGATGACTGTATTTTATCTTGACACTTCCATTTTATTCATGGAACATGACTATTAAGTGTCTTATTTAACATTTGTTGCGAGTGACCGAGAAAGCAAAATGTGTGATGCAAGATTATTCTAGCTGATATCCTGCAGCACTGTTCAATGATCCCATCCAATAGGACAGGCATAGGCAAACTCGGCCCTCCAGATGTTTTGGGACTACAACTCCCATCATCCCTAGCTAACAGGACCAGTGGTCAGGGATGATGGGAGTTGTGGTCCCAAAACATCTGGAGGGCTGAGTTTGTCTATGCCTGTTATAGGATATTGGATTTGGCCATGGGAGATCTGGATTCTAATCCTACCTGTTTTGTGCAGTTTAAGTTTATGGTGTATTAAGCCTTATGAATGAAATATAATTCTAAATCTAATTTGCAATGTACAGCAATCTATAATAGAGATTATGGATGACATCAAACAAAATAGTTAGTGCAAGAATTTCCATTCACTCAGCAGAACTTCCCTTTCCTCACTTCTCTCCACACCTTCCCAAAATTTGATCCAGAGGGTTGGGGTGGAAACTCAGAACAGATTTAGGGGGTGTACATAATTAATATAACAAAATCTATAATAGAGTTTATTAAAAACTATCCTCCTTAAATGAACAGTCATGAAACAGGCCCAAACAAGCACCAAACTTTAAAGGCATCCAGAACAACATCAACAACATCAAAAAACCTGGACCTGTTTGACTGTAATTTGGTATACTTTATCCATTCTGGAGAGGCTGCTATGTCTGCACATTTCATCTACTCCTGTAAATAGGGGGAACATTGACATTTCTAAAAAATGTCAACAACAAATGGGGCAGGGAACATTGCCTTTTTTCTTGTGGACTTGGCCTCAGACCCCAGTCCAGCCCAGACAGCTGTTTCCTGAAGTGTTGAATCGGGGTCTGAACTGAATCATCTGGTTGGTGCACAGATCTATTATTTTGCTTCTTTTCCCCTTGGATCCTATTTGGATTTTGACTCAACAGTTACTTCATGTTTTAACTTTCAGAGTTTTTGATCACACTCTCTTTCTCTCACACAGCTTTTGCAGGCAGCTTGCAAATGAACCATTAGCAGAGATCACTGAAACTAAGATTTACACAGGTGGAAGGGCCTCTATTTCTTTCATGGTGTTTCAGCTTGAATTTATTATAGGATGTTTTCTATAACTGTGAAGGTACCACCTCTCAGAAGCTGCATGATACACATCTGGTTTCACATGCTGTCATCTAGATTAAAGCCATAACCGGAGTCTCCATGGGGGCTAATGAAAATTATTCCCCTTCAGGTTCCTTTATTAAAACAACACCATCTCAAGAAATAGTGGGAAGTGGGAAAGGGAACTGTAATCCACTGTGCTTTACCCTCTTCTAGAAGCCTTTTTTTTTTAAATTCACTTTAGTTGCTTTTCAGTTTGAGCAAACACAGCATCATTGTTTTTGTAATCCTGCTATGACCTTTTGGAAATGTTTTTATCCTGCAAAGTAGCTTTTAGGCTCCTGCTTCATAAATCTTTTCTCCCTCTGTTCCATAGGAATTTGAGAGCGTTCTAATCTTGCTGTTGTTGTTGTTTAAAGGAAATAGGTCTTTTAGAAAGCCTGTTAAGAAGACAAAATGTTTCTTAAAAAGTATTTTTCAGTGTTATATCTTATATGGGTGTACACACACACACACACACACACACACACACACACACACACACACAGTGTTATTCCTCATGGAGCAGACAGGGCAGGTGTAAATAACAAGAAGCAATTACTTTCCCACCGTTTTCACAGAGCGCATTAAAGTGGGTTAAATATGCTAATAATCACACTAACTGCCTCTGGAATGCACCTTACTGGTCACTGGAGTAATGCACTCGTATAATGTTTAACTTCTTGTTCCGCAATTACTTCTTTATTAGGCATCCAGAAGGTGTCAAAGCAAACCTGCCATATATCTCCCGGGAGAGGCTGTGCTTTCAGAAGGAGCCCCAACCAAGATACTGCACCGAGCGGTATAACCAGGACAAACATTAACATGGCCAGCATGGCTATTCAGTTACTGGGCTTCTTCCTGAGTCTTCTCGGTCTTGCTGGGACAATAACTGCGACCATCCTGCCTCACTGGTGGAGAACGGCCCACGTGGGGACCAACATCATCACGGCTGTAGCGTACATGAAGGGTCTCTGGATGGAATGCGTTTGGCACAGCACTGGCATCTATCAGTGCCAGCTTCACCACTCTCCGCTGGCTTTGCCTCGTGACCTCCAAGCAGCCCGTGCCATGATGGTGATTTCCTGTGTTCTTTCCACCTTGGCCTGCGTGGTTGCTGTTTTTGGCATGGAGTGCACCCAGTGCGTCAAAGGGTCCTCTGCCAAAAACGTGTTTGCTGTCTTGGGCGGAGTCCTCTTCATACTGGCGGGGCTCGTGTGCCTCGTCCCTGTTTCTTGGTCAACCAATGATGTGGTAACTGATTTCTACAACCCAATGCTGCCCCATGGGATGAAGTATGAGATCGGGCAAGCCCTTTACCTTGGCTTTGTTTGTGCTTCGTTGAGTATCATTGGTGGAACCATCCTCTGCGTTTCATGTCAACGTACTGGGAACGATTTGACCTACCGCTCGCAGCCGAGGAGTACAAGGGCAGCTCCAGCCTACAGACCCCCAGTGGCCTACAAGGCAAACCACACCTCATCACTAACTTCTGCTTCTCACAGTGGTTACAGGTTAAATGACTATGTGTAAGTTCTCTGGGATCTACTTTTATAATCTCAGTATGTGGGGTGTTTTCAAGGTGGTGTTATTAATGTACAGTCATTTTCATACAATGTTTACCTCTGCTTTGCTGTTCATGTAAAGAATATGTGTAATTTTTTTAAAAAAAATGCTTTGAAACTTCCAATTAAAAATTACGGACATTTATATTCTAGAGCATGTAACTTTCTTTATCAGTGGAATCATGGTCAGTATATGAACTTCTGCTGTATAGAGCTCTGTTTCCATTAAGGTAAAGGTAAATTACCTTTAGGTAATTACCATTAGGTCCAGTCGTGACCGACTCTGGGGTTGAGACACTCATCTCACTTTACTGGCCGAGGGAGCTGGCGTACAGCTTCCGGGTCATGTGGCCAGCATGACTAAGCCGCTTCTGGCAAACCAGAGCAGCGCACGGAAATGCCGTTTATCTTCCCGCCGGAGCGGTACCTATTTATTTACTTGCACTTTGACGTGCTTTCGAACTGCTAGGTTGGCAGGAGCAGGGACCAAGCAATGGGACCTCACCCCGTTGTGAGGATTCGAACCGTCGGCCTTCTGATCAGCAAGTCCTAGGCTCTGTGGTTTAACCCACAGTGCCACCCGCGTCCCTCTGTTTCCATTACCTGCTTCAAAAGAAAAGACCCCACACACATTTACATACAAATAAGAAGAAATAATAATACACAGTCTGAATATAGCATATCCCATAATAATAATTAGTATTATAATAGTTTACTAGTTACTTTTTGTACAAATCTCACAAATTTGTACAAATTCTAAAACAGTCTATATATACCTGAAGGAGTATCTCCACCGCTGTCGTTCAGCCCAGACACTGAGATCTAGCTCCGAGGGGCTTCTGGTGGTTCCCTCACTACGAGAAGTGAGGTTACAGGGCACCAGGCAGAGGGCCTTCTTCGTAGTGGCACCCAACTTGTAAAACACCCTCCTATCAGAAGGAAAACAGATAAACATCTATTTAGAAGACATCTGAAGGCAGCCCTGTATAGGGAAGTTTTTAATGTTTAATGTTTTATGGTGTTGCTGGAAGCCGCCCAGAATGGCTGGGACAACCCAGTCAGATGGGTGGCATATAAGTAATAAAATTATTATTATTGAGGAGAAATTGAGGCATGTGAGCCAAAGAAGCCAAATATGGCCCTCAGGATTCTCCCCAGGCCACAACTTTCCCAAGCCACATCCCTCACTAATCCCACTTTTTTAAAAATAACTTTATTAAAGATTTTCTTTGTTTACAAAAGCACATGCATTGTCTCTTTCTTCAGGTTGTGTTTTCTACGGATCAGTTACATTTGTTGTGAGACATTGGGTTGGGAAGAAAAGGGGTGGGTGGGAGAGAGGGGGTGGGGTAGTAAAGCTTATGTTTTACTTAGTATGTTTTAGGCTGGCTGGTAGAGGCATCTTGCTAGTTTCCCAGTAGCTGTGCTAGTTTCTTGGCAGGTGAGTTGCTGTTACTTACCAGGATGGGGAGGGGCAAAGTGGTGGTGGGAGTCTGTGCAGTGCAAATGCACCAATGAAGCCAATCTGGATGTTCCTGCCGGGGCATTCATACATTGCTGACCTCCCCATCAACCTCACCCCTCCTGGTAAGCAACAGGGACCCAGCTGCCGGGAAGCTAGGGTAGCTGCTCTGCCCTGCCTAGTGAGCCCTTTCTATTGGCAGGAATCTGCCCTTGAACTCTGATGATAAGCATCTTCATTGCCTGAATCGAGGATAGAAGGGGATGTGTGTGGAGAAACTAGCCTACTGAACAATAGTAAAATTCTGGTTTATTGAATCTGTCCACTTAAAATAGAAGGTTGCTCAGAGGAGAATGTGGTCCTCTGGCTTAAAAGGCTCGCCAGTCCTGTTCCAAATGGTTAAAAATAAATCTGATAAATGGGGCTCAAGTTAGAGAATTCTAGACTCTGGACAGTCTTCCAGTGGGTTTCTTTAGATGGCAATGTTGTTTAGCTGACTTAAACATGTGTCATATCCGTCCTGCTGCATTTGGAAGCCTTCCTGCTCATTCTACTGAGTGGGGCCCCCTGGACATCAGCCCCAGAGTCCTGCCCTGATGGTGTCTCTATGTGTAAATGACGTCCTTCTTTCTCTCTCTTCTGTAAGCCCTATTTAATGAGCTAATGTGACCACCAGAAGATTCATTTACTCATACATTTAATGGGGTGCTTTTTTTCTTTTGCAGAGCCATTGGAAAAATTGGTGCCTGATCATTTACTGCAATATTGTCCTGTGATTTGATTCCATAGATGCTGCCACACTACTGGGCATAAGGCTGCTTGATGTTAGTATGAAAGCACAGGTGATGGTTGGTGGTGAGACCCAGACAGGGAACTTCCTTCCAGGCAGGACAAAGAATTGCTAACATGTGATCTATCAGTTTCGGTTTCTCTTGCTTTCTAATATGTCGAGTCTTCAGTTTGGTTCTCTACATTTCCACAAGTAGATAAATAGGGACCGCTTACCAGCGGGAAGGTAAACGGCGTTCCGTGTGCTGCGCTGGCTCGCCAGATGCAGCTTGTCACGCTGGCCACGTGACCCGGAAGTGTCTGCGGACAGCGCTGGCTCCCGGCCTCTAGAGTGAGATGAGCGCACAACCCTAGAGTCTGGCAAGACTGGCCCGTACGGGCAGGGGTACCTTTACCTTTTACCTTTATTAAGGCAATATGGATACTCATATTTGAAGAGAATATGAGATTCAAGGCAGGGCTGTATGCTATTAGAAACATCATATCTAACTTAGTTTACCTTTCTTCACTTACCTTCCCAAAGATATAAGGCACTGTGGCTGAACGTATAAAGTTTAATTCTGAACTGGTGAAAAGTCACAATATCTCTCATCAAGTTTATTGTGAATCCTGTATTCGCATTGTGTGCCTTTTTCTTTCTTCAATTTTTTTTAATCATCTAATTGATCAATAGTGCATTAAAGCTCAGTTAAACTGGTTTGGCAGTTCCTGTCAATTTCATTCATTATCTCCCAGACTTTTATTTAGTTCCGGAAAAGGCAAGTCTGCAAGAATAACTCTGCAGTTTACACACACCATAACTTTACAGTTCCTTTTATCAGCTGAATATTGCCACAGGAAGCACTTCATTTTGTCTCAATGTACCATGTGAGTTTACAAACATTGAAAGTAGAGTCCATTACCACTGCTGTTGGAAAGACGATATGTTTTGTGGTCATGTGGTCAAAGGGAAACAACGTTAAAGACTTCCATCACTCAGGAGGATGTTCCATTTATAATAATAATAATAATAATAATAATAATAATAATAATAATAATAATAATAATAATTTATTATTTATACCCTGCCCATCTGGCTGGGTTTCCCCAGCCACTCTGGGCGGCTTCCAACTGAATATTAAAAACAGTACAGCATCAAACATTAAAAACTTCCTTAAACAGGGCTGCCTTCAGATGTCTTTTAAAGATAGGATAGCTGCTTATTTCCTTCACATCTGAAGGGAGGGTGTTCCACAGGGTGGGTGCCACCACTGAGAAGGCCCTCTGTCTGGTTCCCTGTAACCTCACTTCTCGCAATGAGGGAACCGCCAGAAGGCCCTCGGCGCTGGATCTCAGTGTCCGGCCTGAACGATGGAGGTGGAGACACTCCTTATACTACCTGTTCATGCTTTCTGTACATAGGAGTGATGAACCTAGAGCCCAACAATATCTAGAGGGCTACCACTGGCATCATCCTGGAATACAGACCATTCTATCTGGGGTTGATGGGAGTTAAACTGCAACATCTGTCCCAATTTTTTTCTACAAAGTGGATTTTATTCATGAAAACTATGTAATATAGAAACTCAAGAGTTCTCCTCAGCGCTCCTTTAGAGACAGGAAGTGGTTCTTCTCTCTAGGGTGAAAAGAGGCACTCTGAGAAAGTGTGGGAGAGCTTTACTTCACCATTAAGGTGTAATGGGAAGTTTCCAGTTTTGACACACAGAGTTAACTTCAGCTGCTTTTGGTAGATTGCAGGTTTAAAAGTTACATTGCCCAGCTATTTTTCTCTGTGTTTTTTAAGTGAAAAGAAAATTCATAATTCAAGGAACATGATTGCCAGTACCAATGGGCCATATGCTGGAAACACTATAACTAATACTATATATTTCAAATGTAGCTGTAACGGATTATTAGCATAATAAATACACACATGGACGTAGCTGATGAAATCCTAGGGGTGGAAGAATGCTTTCGTAAATGTGGCCCACTTGTAAAAACATTCGCTCACACAGTGAGTGTCAGTATTGAGCAGTGAGGAAAAGTATCAGGTAATCCACTAAAGGTGAACCAAAAAATTTGACATGAAATTAACTGTGAGGCAGCCCAGATCAATGAAGTGGGAAAGATACTTTTTTGTAGTGAGACTACACAGGATCCAGGTGACGAAATCCCAATGAGAAGATTTGCACTTCAGGTGTTTATTATTATTATTATTATTATTATTATTATTATTATTATTATTATTCTGTTGGGCTTAATTGTACTAATAATTTACAACAGGTCAATGTTTAACTGAAGCAGATTCATCTGCTCTTTAGCACTGAAACAGATGAAAATATAGCTGTGATAGGAACTAGTGCTAGTTCCCCTAAACACATACAGAGTGCAGATGCTTTCCACAGAGTAACAAGATCTTGTGCATCATGCATCAGAGAGAAAGTCTTGCAGGCCAGTTCCTTTGCTTTCTGCATCCCCAAGGGCAACAACAGTGGCTCAAGACCTGGTGTCATATATACAATTCATGATGCACCATTTCTGTAGGGTTGGGATGGCCCAGCCCCTAACAGACCTCATGTTTCATTGAGTGATGATGGCCCTCTCTCAGAATTTTGGTTTAGTTATGTAGCAAGTGCTGAATTTGGAGTTACAGATACTCCCACCCATTGCTGAGGCTGAGAATCTATAATTACTTACCAGGGGTTATGGTAAGTCCCACTATGGGAGTTCACTGCATTTTTAGTAAGTTATTTACACTGATATGTATATGCACTTTTATGCACACTTTCTCTAAATGTAATGCATTTTTGTAACACCTTTTTTTAAAAAAAAACTGCATTGCAAAACTTGGAAAAGGATATCTGCATTTCAGTCTGTATATTTTTTTCAGGAAGTAAACATCTGGTAGACTCTGAATTTCTCCCCTCCCTCTTTCTATAGAAGTGCAGGGGCATACCTAGGCATTGGTCAGTTGCCCCCTCCCCTGAAGGGCACAGTCCCAGGGGGGTGCAAAAATCATGCCTCTGCACTCTGGCTTGGAGTGGCTAGGAGCCTGCCCATCTGTGTGGTCAGACAGACCAATGGAGGAGAAGGAGGAGCAGAGCAGACCCGATCCTGGTGGCTGCAGAGGAAGTCACTGGTGGCGGGGCATAAAAGGTGACACAAAGCAAACTTTTTCAGTTTCTGGTCCATGGTCTTTCCTGGCTTCAGAGGTGCCAATGCATCTCCTTGCCAGCGGCGCAAGGGCCTGAAGGGGCAGGTTGTGGGTGCCGATACATCTCCCTGCCAAGAGCTCTAGGTATGCCTCAGTTGAAGTTCAGCACTCTCCTATTCATGTCTACTTGTAATGAAGTCCTACTGTGTGACTGAGATCTAATACATCATTAACAATCCATCTGGAAAAATATATTTGGAAAGTCCTAGTAATGCTTGCAAAAGCGTTTGTTGTGCATGACAGTGGCACATTCTCCACAAAAAAAGCTGTTTGCAACGCTTGCTAACTTGCTTGGAGAAGCAAGCAGTGCATATGGCGATGAGGCTGCTGCATGGACCTGCCAGCACTGATAAAGGAATGCAAAGGAAAGGCCGAAGTTTAGTGTTACATACGGGGAATTGTAAAGCTGAGTAAAGTAATGGACAGTGAGTGAGCATTATGTAATGCAGTGGTGAGGAACCTGTGTCCCTCCAGATGTTTTTGGATTCCAATTTCCATCAGCCCCACACAGAATGGTCAATGTTCGGGAGATGGAATTTAACAACATCTGGAGGGTCACAGGTTCCTTATGTAATGCACGTTGGTTAGGATAACATGCTTCTACTTATTTGGCTTGACGGTTGCACTTATTTACATTACGGAGTGAAAGGAGGCATGTCATTTCCTGCCATTTATCTCACCTATTAAAACAGTCAGGGAATGCCACCGTCTAACAATGGGTTTGCCAAGTCCAAACATGGGGATCCTACTGGCCACTTTAAGAGCTCAGAGGCAGCCTGCTGCCCAGCAGTCCTGAGACGTTAAATCTCACAATAGAGCACATGCAGGAACATTTCAACATGACAAGAAGGTGGAAGTGCCTGTATATAAAATATAAATATCTCTCTCTCTCTCTCTCTCTCTCTCTCTCTCTCTCTCTCATTCCTGGACTTGCTAGTTTGGGCTGCATAACAAGGTGAAAACTATTCCCAAGTTATGCTGGCAAATTTCTAATAAAACTTCTTAGTAAGAAAATACAGTAGACGTAAAATAAGCCATGATGAAAGGAACAGATATTTCAAATGCCTCTGGGTTAATAGAAGTTTTGTTTCTTAGTGAGCTTGCTTGTCACTCATCAGATATTGAAAAAACTGAATGTGGAAAATTCCCCCTACAGAAGTTAAGCAATGCCTGGAGGCAGATGGTATTTGATATTTTATGATGTCAAAGGCTCTCTGCTGGAAAGCATTCTGAAATACCAGACAATGCACCATTGGAAACCTCTGTGTATCTCCCTCCTGCCACTTTTTTGTTTGTTGATTCGAAACACACACACACACACATTGTGGTGCAATCCTATGCATGGGTAATCAAAAGTAATCTCAATTGTCTTCCATGGAGCTTCCTCCTAGGTAAATATATGTAGGGTTGCAATCTATAATTAAGTACTTTGGTAATGATAATAAATGTAAAAGGTAGGTAGAGGGCTGCTGGACGGTTAAGTCCAGTCAAATAAATCTGCTCAATGGACTGTTTTGAGGTTAAATTAGATATAGATTAACTACTACCCCAAACCTTAAAAAAAAAAAAGGCCCTAGGACATTCAGGGTACAGTGGTACCTCAGGTTAAGAACTTAATTCGTTGCCTCAGGTTAAGAACTTAAGTCGTTCTGAAGTTCTGAAACTGTTCTTAACCTGAAGCACCACTTTAGCTAATGGGGCCTCCTGCTGCCGCTGCGCGATTTCTGTTCTCATCCTGAAGCAAAGTTCTTAACCCGAGGTATTATTTCTGGGTTAGCGGAGTCTGTAACATGAAGCGTATGTAACCTGAAGCATATGTAACACGAGGTACCACTGTATTTTGATTCATCTACATGTTTAGTTCTATACAGTCATGGGAAACAGAAAGGGGAGCAAGCAGAGATGAGATCGCTCTGTGCCCCTTGCCTTCGCCCTATCTGAAGGCAACTACCTGAAGCAGGGAGCCTTTTGTATAGTCAGAGCTCCCTGTGTGTTGTAGAACCACAGTTCTAAAATGTGTTGGGAGCCTCCATGGAT